GTTAAGTCTTCTTTCGAAATATCTCAGGGCTTCGTGATCTTTCCTATTCCCTTCGACCTCAGCCATCGCGACGAGACCGGACCTTATCGTGATGCGATAGTTTGTGTGCCTCAATGATCCATTTAGCTGTGCTGGAAGGTGCCTTTTGCACCTTCATAGCCTCTCATATCAGATTGGTCATTGGTTAGAGGCCAGACAAACTCAGTCTCCTGGCCCTCCAGGTTGGGGGTTGGAGTGAGGGTGGATCCTCTCTCCATAAAACGGATTCTCTGTAGTCCAGTGCCAAACCCGCTTCCTTGCGGTCAGGTTTTTGAACCAAAGGCTTTGGTTGAGAACCCTAATCGTTCTCCTGTCTAGGCTTGGGCAACCTGACAGCATACCATTCATTCACTACATCATGACTTTTCCTTCTAACAATCTCCTGATGCTCTGGTCGTCGCAGAGGATAATCAACGGCGCCTTATCTGCTTCCTCGAACAGGGTGTATAGGAGTTTAGCTGTTACTGCTCAAGCCTTCCTGTCTTATTCATTTTCCCGTGTTGTTTCATCCTTATCGTCCCATTCCAAATTCACTTTTCCCCCCTTGTTTTCAAACCCCATAATTCTTGATCCTCCTCTGACTTGCTCTAATAGTCGCTTGTCTTCTAGTTCCAACTCACACGCAATCGCAGGGCGCCGCTCCAGCCCAGTCGACAAGTTCATGTTCAACCAAGCGGGCGATGTCAGTTCATCCGTTTCTCTTCGGAGTCCTCTATCCTCGCTAAGTCTGTCATGCCTCAACGCGCGAACTTTGTTACAGATTGACTAACAGGCAGCACTTGCCCGGACACTAGGGACCCTATCGATCGATATTTGCTGTTTATCGGAAACCCGCTTGCAAGGTTTGAGCTCCGTGCTTACCCCGGATCTTCCACCTGTGACACTGGCAGCACATTCTCATTGCGCCTGTCTGACGATGACGCAGCTTCAAATGCAGGTTAAGCTGGTGTCGGCATTGTTTGAGTCCCCAGGCTGAAGCTGCCCTGATCGATTGGATTCCTGTCAACAGCCGGATGTGCGTCGTTAGATTGACTGGCTCGTTCCAGACTTCGAAGTCGCGCGGTGACTAACGGTGCCTGTTTGTCATTGCGGCCTACTTGCCCACAACCTGTAGCACAGATTCGGTGAAAGATGGATTATATCCCCAACTGAACGTGTTCCTCCATTCCGGAAAATGGACGGGTACAGTGCTGCTTGTTGGTGATCTGAACGCCCATGTCGGAAAATTGCCCTCTGATTAGGTTCAGCTGGGCGGCCAACATGATGTGGGCTCTCTTAACGATGACGGTGAGCGGTTGCTGCACCTGTGTGTAAATGCTAGGCTCTTTCTCGCAAGCACTAATTTTCGACACAGCACACGCAGAAGAGTGACTTGGCGTCCACCAGCCATGAGCGAAAATAGATCATATCGCGATTAGTTACCGCTGGAGAGGCTGTGTCAAAAACTGTCGCTGGATTTGGAGCACGAGTGTGGACTCCGATCGCGCTCTTCTGTGTGCCTACCTTCGGGTGCGTTTCGTTGGACGTCCGCAACGTCGCTGTGCGCACACATACACCAACCAACTGGCGAAACCAAGTGTTCTGAATGCGTATCACAATGCGCCAGGATCCGTGCTGGCTAAACGCCCAGTGAACGCCGTAGAAGTTCACTGCTCGCATATTCGCCAGACGTTACTATCAGCAAGCTCGTCTTCATGTTGCAAATCAAAGTACCAACTTGGACATTGGGCCACTACGCAGTCTCTAGATGCTCACCGAAGTATTCCGACTAAAAGCGAACCCAGTGAGGCTCGCAAAATAGGGCAAAACTGCATGCTAGCCTAAAGAGGGACCGCGAAGTCTAGTGGTCTCATCTTGCATCGAAAATAAAGACAGCCGCTGCCGTTGGTAACCATCGTAAGTTATTTCGTCTGATACGGTGAGCAGGAGACCTAGTGTTAGCGAGACCATACGCGACGAGAGTAGACAGTCGATCCACAGCTTGTCAAAACGCTTGGGGCGTTGGACCGAACACTGCGTAGGAATTCATTCATTCATAGTTGTCGACTTCTTCCTTCGCGGTATACTCAGCCCGCGCGCGACTGGTGGTGGTCGCACGGCAGCGAAGCGCCGTTACGGCGTACAGCTGACACATTATTTTATTATTATTTATTGTCGACTTCTCCAACGGCCATTGGTCGCCTTACTCCATGGGCCATACCCGTGATACCGCCCTCACACACAGCAATCGAACTTGAGACCGGACGGTTGAAACTGAATAAGACCGCATGGACAGATAGAATTCCTCTATCCCTCTTCAAATTCGGTGGACCTACTCTTTTAGATGATTTACACGAGTTACTAGTGAAACTTTGGGAGCAGGAAACTGTCCCAATTTTCAAGGGAACCTCCCGTTCATAATGCAACAATACTAGTGGGATCAGTCTGAACTCAATTGCCTCTAAATTGCTTACATCAATCATTCCCCACAGACTGATTGGCACTCGTGAAAGTCAGCTTCGCGAGGAGCAAGCCGGCTTTCGTTGAAATCACGGCTGTATCGACCCCATCCTTACTTGTTGGAGCATCGTCATATTTATTGGCGACGCACTGTAGTCTTGTTTCTCGACATTATAGGTGCCTTCGATTCGGTTGATCGATGTACGCGTTGGGACTATCTGCTGAGGAAAGGTGTGCCCGAAAAATACGTAAACATTATCAGAACGCTCATAGCTCGGGCAGATTAAGGGTTTATGGCAAAATGTTGCCGCCGTTCAGTTTCTCCAGCGGTATAAGACAAGGTTCCCCTTGTCACCTTTTCTCTTTAACTTCGTTATTGATAAAATCACGGAAAGAGCGTTCGCTGGACACGTGGTACAAGGTGTGGAGCTGCTCCCAGGTGACCGAATTCCTTACTTAGATACGCCTACAACACTGCACTCATATGTGACAGCGTCCAAACGTGCCAAGCAGCACTGGCTGTCAAATGTTCTGGGCTATGTTGTGCTCCATCGAAACGCAAAGTCCTTCTCGAAGATTGGCAGGGATCTACCCCTGCACTGAGCCTCGGTGGTGATCAGCTAGAAATCGTTCAGGAATTCAAGTACCTGGGCAGCAATATTAGCGCCCGTGGGATTGAAGGTGAGGTCAGAAACCGTATAGCAAAAGCTCGAGGTGCTTTTGTTAATCTCGGCTATCTGTGGCACCAAAGCGACATCCCTCCCGCTCTGAAAGGCAGAGTTTACAATGCAGCCGTCCGTTCAACCCTGTTGCATGGTTGTGGAACCTGGCCCATCAGGTTGACAGGTAAAAGAGGCTAGCTACATTCAACCATCGCTGCCTTCGCGGCTTAACTCATGTCTGATGGGACACCGCGTGGGCAATGAATGTGTTCGGCGTCGCGTATTTGGTACAGGAAGAGCGAATGATCCGGTTAGCATCATTATATCACACATCATGCCCCGAATCCTGAGCCACGTTATATATGGTTGGCGGCATCCGATTTCGGATTTGCCTGTCACTGTGGCCAGGTACAGGACGCCTGCGCCTACAGAGCGACTATGGGTGGCTTGCCCTGCACCACACAGCTCCATCCACCCACCTTATATCCAGTGTAAACCCGAAGGAATAAGACCGGGAGGCATGCGGGTGGGAGCCACGTTTCATCAACGGAGCCGGTCCACACTCCTTCATTGGCAAACACAAGCACGCTGTATTTGGGAATCAAGCGCACAACAAGGCGGTGGCTGGACCGTAGTCCGCTCCACACTGAGTGCATGGAACCACTCTTCGAACCTAGCACGACCACAAGGACCGTGCACCCTGTCCCCTCCAGCAACGACCAACTGTCTCCTGGAGCCAGTATTGAGGAGATAGTGGGTAGTAGACAGGTAGGCACCTTGTCAACTTGCACATCAAGCGTGGCCACACTTGGGATATCAAGCAACAGTCAGTCATTCGAAATGCTGATATCGAATAAAGTAAACGCATATGACGACATACTCGCTAAATGAGCATATGGAAGAAATTGGTTAAAAGTGAATCCGTGATAAGTAAAAATCTCCAAAAGTTATTTAAAAAATACCACGCGATAAAATCACGCAAGTTTGTCACAATTTGCATGAGCGACGTGTGCAAGTTGGGGGAAGATTATCAGGTACGCAGAACAAATTAAGTGAAATGTAGTGAATTTTAGCCACATTAAAAAGACCTAGTTTAAGTGTAAGTTGGTTTAGCCCAACTGCGGTGTAGAAGCATCATGAATGCGACATCAGCCTCAGCAAACGTATGCTGTAATTTCGGGTAGCATTGGCCCCTGTTTGACTGTTGCGAATATATATATATATATATATATATATATATGCAACAGTCTACGAATAGACATAGAGCCATCAAAACCATGGGACTCAAAAGAAGCTACAGAAATAGTAAAAGAAAACACATCAAAGTCCATGCTTTCCTCAGAGGGCGAGATACTACCCGGTTGCGCAAACCGAAGTAGGTTGTTGTCTTAGCGGACACCACCCCGAGCCTTTGGCTGCATAGCCTGAGCGCAAGACAGCGGAGCGAATTCAGGGAATCGCGTCCATTGTGAGCTGGTGACTGTTTGCTCAGTTCATACGCCTTTCGTTTGTTCCTTTGTCAAACAGGGGCCAATGCTCCCCGAAATTACAGCATAAGTTTGCTGGAATACAATGCTTTGCCATAATGAAAGAAGGAGCGATGACTTTATTTAGTGGCGAGTCACGTCCGCCAGGTCACAGTGTTGTTAACCGGACATATGTGGATTTTTATAGGGCGAACGCTTGCCAGGCGAAAACCCACCACATCCTGGAACACTGCCGCCGAACCATTTTCTGGCATGGGAAAATCCCGAACCACCCATCTGGCACCACGAAGAGGTTGTTCGGCAAGCCAGCTACTGGGCCACGTGTTGTGCATGACAGCCAACCGGCTCGCACGCCGTCCTTAGTTTGCGCGCCCGAGGTCTGGATGTAAGCGAAGGAGAGGAGGCCAAGCAATGACTTAGTCTAGCGAAATGAAAACCTTCACTTCGAAGTTGGTGTCGGTTGGTGCTTTTCGACTGCCGGGCTGGGGTCCAAAGGACAATGAACACGTTAATTTGAACACACTTGTTGATATGGTTAGGAACCGGCACCAATGACGTTTATGCTGTGAGTTTCTTTGTCCATCCCCCTCCCCTTTGGATTCATCCTCCAGTCACGATAATATCGCAACTTTATAATATGATATTTAACATTACATTTCTTGATTTTTGTATTTTCTGTAGTTTTTTGCCTTTCTTTTTTGTATTGCGGCACATTAGCTGAGGTATGTTTCTCACCCTCAGCTAACGCGTATTGTTAATGATGACATCGGCTTCAGCAGTTGAACTTGTTCTTCATGGATTTCCGAAATTGTCGATGTGATCTCATCTACATGACGCATCCTTCGAAAGTAACTCGGAAGTGCGTTACAACAATCCTTCCTATTCAGCCCCGACTGTTCGACACGAGATCACAAATGGAAACTGTTCAAACCATAATAAATGCACGTTCACTCTGGTGGTGAATGACTGTAACCACCTATTGGGGGGAATTGTAGACGCACGATCGGAGGAATGTTTCCACTGGCTTTTAGGCAACCCACTCGATGAGGACGCTGGGAGCTTGTTTCCACAACATTTGCGACGAACCTTTGAGGAAAGTCGTCACGCAACCACACGCATCCGGTTTATAATAACTTGGAATCGACGGAGCTGACAAAGGTTCTCCTTTCTGCTTTTTAATTCCATATTTTGGGGACTCAGTGAGTTGCCAAAGCCCAGTTCTGTGGATATGCTTTAGCGGAGCCTTATATATTTCATTAACTGTACGCAAGAAAGTCTGCACTTTTGTTACCACTAGTATTGGCTAAATATGCACTAAATGATGGTTTCACTATTTTATCCATTAGCGTTGAATTAAACATCATTATCCCCTTGCAATTCTACGTATTGCCTTTTTGCAACTATTTTATCGAATGCCTAACAGTTGATTCACTATTACTTACAGACTTTCGTCTTGGAGACTATTCGTAATGCGCTGTTCTGCGTCGCTTCTTTCTTCCGTTAAGGCCATAATTCTTGGTCCTCCTGGGTCTGGAAAAGGGACTATCTCGAACAGAATCAAAAAGGATTTCCCTCTAAACTATCTCAGCTCCGGTGATATCCTTAGGTCACACGTCGCAAACAAGACAAGTTAGTTGTTACAACTTTTTATACTCTGCATAGAGATCGGGATTGCGGCTTCGGAATATATGTCAAAGGGTCTGTTGGTTCCTGATGAAATCGTCACTAAAATGATGCTGGGCGAGTGCTCAAATTTTAGTGGATCCAGTCTACTCTTGGATGGCTTCCCTAGGACAATTGAACAAGCTAAGTCTTTGGATAAAGAAGTCAATATTACTTGTGTCCTCAACCTTGACGTCCCTTTCGACGAGATCATCAATCGCGTTAAGTGCCGTTGGATCCACCAGCCTAGTGGCAGGATCTACAATACGGAGTTCAATCCGCCCAAAGTGCCCGTGAGTCTTATCCGGCATCTTTTAGCAATTCTCCTGCTTAGATCTGAGTTACTCGTTTTTTCTGTTAGCCGGTGGCTGAGCCATTCTCTCGTCCGGTCTGTAATCCGAAGGTCACCGGTTCGAATCTGCGTAAGTGCATGCGAATTAACTTCCCCACGGCTGCTCCTTTGGTCGCATGGCAGCAAACGTCATTACGAAGTTGCTGCATACTGCTGATTCCAGCTCTTCATCAATCGCCCTTTCTAGATCCACGCACTCTACATATTCAGTCGAATTTAAGGTGACTTTATCGTATTCTCGCAGCAGTCACCGGAGTGCATTTTGCTCGTCTCTCCAATAGTATACTTCGCCAATGAATTAACTGATCTAATTCTTTTCAAATTCTCTGCTTTTGATACGCTCACAACCTCTGGTTGGTTAGTATTTCACTTTTTCGGATGTTCTATCTATTCCTATCGGCGTAACTGTCAGGCCATTATTTATCTTTTCCGTTTTTTAGTTTACTATCGCTTTGGTTATTCCCTAGCCTGCCTTGTAATCTGACTTCGCGGGTTTGAGCTTACATAGGGACATGGTGACCCTCGCAGTATCCTTAATCCACTTGCAACTGGTGGTGGTTGCGCGGCAGAGAAGCATCGGTACTGCGTACCGGCGTACTGCTGATGTCTTCTTCTGCCTCGCCCATGTCCTCTTCGCACAAATAACCCTCATCTGCGGCCTTGCGTTATCGGAAGTGTAGGCGTCTTGCTCCCAAATGTGTGCTTAGGACGTTTAAGCTTTATCTTAGGCCCCCTCCATTTCATTCTCGCTTCGCATCACGAGGGTGATTATGGTCACATAACAGCGAACAATCGGTACCACTTACTGTGCTGCCGCTGTTGTTGTTAATATTGATGGTTGTTTCGCGCATGCAACTCGATATGGCTAGATCCTGGCATAATTTGATGTTTTCCGAGCCTGTATCATCACTAGCGCGGGCCGGATAAGTGGAAAAACTCTTGTCAGTCGCGCCAGATGTGCCACAGATTCATGAAATCTGTTTCAGTTTTTGCAATATGTGAGTTAGTTTCAGCAGTAATACACACCCGTTGGTGGCAACTGCCGTTGCTAACTGCAGTGTATACAGTTACCAACATAGGTGAGTTGACCAACAAACTCCAATTCATCTCCGTTATGGATTAAAGAAATAGCAAGAGTTTCAATGAATCACGGGCGATGCTGATCTTCAGCAAAGCAAAGATTCCCATTTCATTAATATGAATCAATATGAGAAATCATTTCAGGGTAAAAAAATTCTTTTCGGTAACTCTCATCAGACCCAAACTTTTACATAACATTGTGGAGATAGCGTAAACTGGGGCTGGGATTAACTTCTTGACTGTTTGAATGACCAAAATCGATAACTTGAGACAGAGATGGTAGACCAAGTAAACTAAATAAACATGTGTACACAAGGCTCATTAGTACAATGTAATTAATTAATAGCAAGAGGCTGATTCTGTAATTGCAGCCTTTCATCTGAAAACGCGAAGCGCACACAGAAGAATGGAAGGACCTCGTGAAGTTTATCCGGAGTTGACTGTCGTCTTTCGTCTGTCAAACAGCAAGACTTCATCTTACGAGCAATCTAATTCAACCAGCATTCTTCTGGACAGGAACTCAGTGTTAAGAAAGAGAAACAAAACACGAAGCTTTAGGCGAACAATTGTTTTCGATTAACCATCGCAATGAGGCTGGACCTTACCGTGGTGCGATGGTTTGTGTGCCTCAGCGATCCATTGAGCTACGCTGGGTGGTGCTTTTGCACCTTCAGAGTCACTCATACCAGATTGGTCAATGGTTAGAGGCCAGACAAACTCAGCCTCCTGGTCCTCCAGGTTGGGGGTTGGAATGAGGGTGGCTCCTTATTCCTTAAAATGGACTCCTTGTAGCCCAACGCCAAACCCGCTGCCTTGCGGTCAGGTTTTTGAACCAAAGGCTTTGGTTGAGAACCCTAATCGTTCTCCTGTCTAGGCCTGGGCAACCTGACAGTATCCTGCCCACGCAATACTATGAATTTTCCTTCAAACAATTTCTTGATGCTCTGGCCACCGCAGAGGATAATAAACGGTGCCCTATCTGCTGCATCGAGCAGGGTGGATAGGGGTTTGGATGCTACTGCTCAAGCCTTCCCGTCTTCTTATTCCCCCTCTTACGCTTTTTCACTCTTACCGTCCCATTCCAACTTCACTTATATCCCCCCAGTTTTCAACTCCCCGATTCTTGGCCCTCCCCCAACGTGCTTTGCTAGGCGTTTACCTTCTAATTTCAGCTCACACGTGAACGCGGAGCGTCACTCCTCTCTTGTCGACAAGCCCATGTCCAACCAAGCGGTCCAATCCAGTTCATCGGCTTCCATTTGGAGCCCTCGATCCTCCTTCAGATTGGCATGCCTCAATGTACACACACTGCTACAAATCGGTCAACAGGCAGCACTTGCCCGAACATTGGAGACCCTCTCGATCGATATCTGCTGCTTATCAGAGACTCGCCTGCAAGACTCGAGCACTGTGCTCACTCTGCGATCCCCTTCAGGGGACGAGGTAATGTTCTCTCGCTAGACGCAAAATCCAAAGCATTAGAATCTAGGAGAGGCTGTTCATTTTATATTAATCGTGAGTAGCAGGATTTTGGATGTAATTTTAAACAGCCCTCTTAGTTAAAATTACAACTAAAATCCTGCTACTCACGATTAATATAAAATGAATAGCCTCTCCTAGTTTCGAAAGCTATGGATATAGCGTCCAGTGAGAGGACGTCATCACCCCGCCGGCTAGCCAGTGACAGTGGAAAATAGCTGGTTCTATATCCCCGTTAGCTTGCAAATTGTGTAGCCCAGCCAACCTCCCCCCATGGCTCAGTGGCTTAAGCTGCTGGCTAGTTGGTATCTGCCTCTAGCGGTCATGGGTTCCATCCCCAGTAGGAGACCGAGGGAATGCACATCACTGACGAGCTCCCATCGGGCGAAACGCGCCTGGTGCTTTCCGTACTTGGCTGTGCTATGTAGCTTGGAAACTACTGCGATGAATAACTTAAAATTTCTGATACTTAACTTGTGATCATGATGGCAGTCATCTGCTCACATGATTGAAGTCAGATGGATTTGCCTAGTGCCATCACTTCCCTCCCGTCTGGTGGTCGGTCACGGAAATCGTAGTCTTTGTACCATCTTCTGGACACACAAATCCGTGTTCGTCAGGCGTATGCACACTGCTTCAACGGTGGCAACTAGGCTTGCTTTTACTCGATGCTTATGCCTCGGCGGTATTCTATAGAGCATCTGGAAGGCAGTTTGTTTGTTTATATGATGGCCGGTGTTGATTAGATGGTTCGTACTCGCGCCGTAGTTTGTCCTATTTTCGCGATTGGAGAGCCAACCTGGGAAGTGTTCTTTGATTTTCTTACCTAAGTGCTTGGTCCTCCGTCCAACGTGCTTGGCCTCACACGTGCAGGTGACGACTGCAACCAACCTTACCCTAATGTATATTAATGTATAAGCCTGACGAAGAGTTAATCGAAAACAATATTTCGCCTAAATCTCCGTGTTTTGTTTCTCTTTCTTAACACTGAGTTCCTGTCCAGAAGAATGCTGGTTGAATTAGATTGCTCGTAAGATGAAGTCTTGCTGTTTGACAGACGAAAGACGACAGTCAACTCCGGATAAACTTCACGAGGTCCTTCCATTCTTCTGTGTGCGCTTCGCGTTTTCAGATGAAAGGCTGCAATTACAGAATCAGCCTCTTGCTATTAATTAATTACATTGTACTAATGAGCCTTGTGTACACATGTTTATTTAGTTTACTTGGTCTACCATCTCTATCTCTGTCTCAAGTTATCGATTTTGGTCATTCAAACAGTCAAGAAGTTAATCCCAGCCCCAGTTTACGCTATCTCCACAATGTTATGTAAACGTTTGGGTCTGATGAGAGTTACCGAAAAGAATTTTTTACCCTGAAATGATTTCTCATATTGATTCATATTAATGAAATGGGAATCTTTGCTTTGCTGAAGATCAGCATTGCCCGTGATTCATTGAAACTCTTGCTATTCCTTCAATCCATAACGGAGATGAATTGGAGTTTGTTGGTCAACTCACCTATGTTGGTAACTGTATACACTGCAGTTAGCAACGGCAGTTGCCACCAACGGGTGTGTATTACTGCTGAAACTAGCTCACATATTGCAAAAACTGAAACCGATTTCATGAATCTGCGGCACATCTGGCGCGACTGACAATAGTGATGTATTTATTGTCATCTGGCCTGACTGCGCTTTTATTGCATGTTTAGGGGTCACTAGGCAGCCATTTCGTCGATACCGCCTTGTCTCCCTGCGACACTCGGTTGTTTGTGATCTTGTGTTCTTGATAAGATATGGGCTCGGAAAATTCATTGTTTTACATTATTGCCTCCTTCTCTATCTTGTTTCACACCAGCGATACCGCTCAGTTTTTGGTTGCATGGCTGATATAAAACAAGACAAATTACCGATGTACTGTTGCTGAGTATGGTGATGACTCGCAGTTCGGTACTCATCGACGATTGAACACTTAGTGCCTTCAATTTTCTGTGGCCATTGTTATGATCGGTACGGTGATATTTCACTGCTGCCAGTTAACCGACGGACAAACCTTAAGTATGCGGACTACATAGCTCTCCTTGCGTCTGACACTGTGGTTACGCATACACCACTGAATAGGCTAACGCGTTGCGCTGCGTTTCTCCATGTGCGCTTTGGGCCTTCCAAGTGGAAATAATTGTTTCAGGACTGAGCTGACGCGCATCGGTTCTGTTTGTCGCCGGACATCTAAAAGTGTTGGATCGACTCACTTGCATTGGTACCTGTGTCACCTCTGGTGGTCACCTCACTGATGTGGTTACTTCGCGTATCAGAAATCCCGTTTGAGATTTCAGAGGCTCAACGATCTGTGGACGCTGTAGGATATCAGCCTGTCTACGAAA